AATTATTGTCAAAAGTAAAATCACAGTGATTTAGCGGTCATTAAAATGTGTTCAGAATATGCAAACTTATATTGATTTTCATGTTTCTTATAAATGATGACACTGATTTCCAATTATATGCTACCTATGTAATGTAATTGGAGGAGCTTGCATACATGATGCAGCCATAGCTACATGACAGCTCTCTTAAAAATGTGCTTTGTCTTGCAAATGTTCAAATTCAAAAGGGTCAGTAAATGAAAATGTGCTTAAATGAAGTGAAAAAATTATACTTAAAAAAAGTGTGACATGTGCTAACCACCAAAAAGCTGTAAAATAGTTGAATGAAACCATAAGCACTCGCAATGAACTATTTATTGCTTTTAATGTTTCATAGCGAGACAGAAATGCTTCAGCCAGTGGCTTTGCTCGGCCCTTCCAGAACATTTGAGGGTGTAAACCTTATCAAAGCACCATCAAGACCCAGCCTGTGGTGTACCCCGAGGTGATATTCATAAACCCATGAAAAATAAAATACAAGTAAAGAAAATGAGAACTATTTGTGATGTATTGGTTTTTTTACCTACTGTAATGCCCACGGAAGGACAAATTAGCTATCCTTCTCATGCATCAGTTGCTCAGATACAGGATACATATAGGAATAAAAATATCCTGTGCTTGTGTAACAATGTGCAGTTCAAAACATGTTCAAAAACACAGAATTGCATCATTTTTTTCTAATGCTGCTCAAAAATTTGAATCCTTGAATCAGGCTTGTGGCAGCGAAATAATGTGTTTTCCTCTCAATGCCTCCCAGGAGGTCTTAAGATTTGTGCTACCTGAAAAAGGTGACAAGCTACATGTTTCATGCAGCTTTCAGGGCCCTTTGCCCTCCTTGCAGCATAGGCCAATGACAAATTCTTGTGGGCTCCAGGTCCGCGAGTGTCTTGTGATGTTTCTTGTTGTCTTTCTGAGGGTATGCCTGTGCCGTCCCTACCTCTTCTTCCATGGGCAGTAAATCTCAATGCTGGAAGAATAGAAGCATTCTGAGGGCGACTAAGAACTAACAAAGTATTAACACTGGATGGAAATCTCTGCATTTTGCAAAAAACATGTGCAAAGTCTTGAATAAATGTTCTCTCAGCTTGATACCATTAGTTCAAATTGGTTTGTACTGTGAGAACAGTTGATGTGAGAATAGCTCTATGATATCTTTACAGAAGAAAAGTAAAGCAAACATTCAGAGCCAGCACATGCAGCACACTGTCTGCTGTTTCAGTAGCAGTTGTCATATCATCTCCTGCCAAAACTAGTTTCTTCAAAAATGACAACGTTAATCTGTTATTAAATTAGCAACATCATGGTGTTAACTGAAATGTTCTGAAAACTCAGAGTACCTTTCAGATTTAAAATTGCTGTTTCTGTAACAGTGTCTTGAAATTGCCTTGGGAAAATCTGAATAACTGAACAAGTAATATATATATATAAAAAAATTAAATATTTTAAGAGTGTCTTACGATTGATAATGAATGCAGCTGCTCGTCTCATTACTGAGCGGCGTGTCTCTAATACCCCTGTCCTTGCTGATCTGCATTGGCTTCCCGTTAAGTATCGCATTCAATTCAAAATCCTGCTGCTCACCTTCTGAATTATTAACAATATAGCGCCAAGCTACCTCATTGAACTACTTAGATTATACACCCCTACTAGAGCACTAAGATCATCTTCCCAGTCACTCTTGGTACTGCCGAGATCCCGGCTGAAGACTAGAGGTGACCGCGCGTTTGCCTTGGCTGCACCCGACCTATGGAATAAGACTTAGAATTATAAAAATTAGTTAGCTTAATGCTTATTCTTATCTTCGGTTTATTCTTAATTATTTTTAATCATTTTTCAAATTTTTGACTGTTTTATCCCTTACAGTTATTGCTCTTTTATGCTTTTATATGCATTGCTTTTGCTTTTGTGTTTTAATGCCATCTAACCTGCTAGCATGTTTTGGTACCTTGCCGTAGCCCTCATCCTTCCCTCTTACTTCATCTTACCCTCTTACATGTTAAGCACTTTGGTACACCATTGGTTTTAAATGTGCTATATAAATAAAGTTGTTGCTGTTGTTATATTGGCATCAGCTTATCTCAGAGAAGCTTTGTTGTTGAGGTTTCACAAGCCTGTTTTATCTGACTTTAACTTGGAGGACTTGTTGGAGGGAGAGTACTGCAATTACTAGTACGGAAGCCCACATTACAGATTTGACATTAACAGACTTGGAGAGACAACAAACACGGTGAGCAATAACGTTGGTTTCCATGGATAAAAGACTTTGATGTCTGTAATCCCGATCCACAAAGTCACACAAGCTCACAAGTTTGTCTCACTGTGATGTTGTCAAATGTGCCGAATTCTTCAGATTGCGTGTTGTGGGACCAGACACTTGTCAGGGGTGGGCTATCTTTTATTCCGTCAGCCCGGTGTGTTTGTGTGATGTTGTTCTCGCTCACATTTACAGGTCTATCTGATTCCTTTAGCTTTAGCTGAGCTGATAACAGCTCTGTTTGAATGAGCTTGTCTGTTCTGTGTGCACGTACCAAATGGTGATATCTTACCTTTTCCCTTCACTCACTTTCTATCTCCCCTACCTCACTTATTCTTGTCGGTGGCCACTGTGTGCGTGCTAGGACAAAGGTGCTATTTGAATTTAAGTGCATGTGCGTCTGCTTTTTCTATAGAAATATCAGTTTTTTGGGTCCTCCATGCTTTTATCACATAGGTGTGCCCGATAGATGAGAAGAGGAACATATTATGTAAACTGCAAAGCCAGCAAAAGGACTGATAACGTACTGCTTTAATGGGCTGACAGCTAAACATAAAGCAACACACATGAACGAGCCTGTTATCTTGATTAATATGTCTCAGCAGAAGGAATGAATGGACAACTCTCTCTCACAGCTTCTCTTAACTGTCTCTTAATCTTTTCGTTTTCTTTATCTCCTTAAACCCTTCTGTTTTTTTAAATCTTAGGCTCTTTTAATTTGGTTTTTTTTTTAACAGTAGGTTTTCTGGCCATATTCTACCTGTCTTTTAATAATATCTGTGCAGAGCGCTCAAATGCACACTCTGCTTTTATCTCTCTCCTTCATTCTCTCACTTCTTTTAATTTAAACGCTGCCTTATCGCTGCAAAACGTTCTAAATATTGGCTCAGCGCAGGTGGGGAACAGCAATTTGAATACACTTCAAAAGACAAAATTAAATGTTTAACTGACAAATGAAGCGTATCAGCGCTAATGAAATGACAGCGCTCCTCTAATATGTGCCATTGCGTGTCTCTCCCCAGGTATGTGGTCCTTCTCCGTTTCCGAGCTGGCCATCCCGGGCGCTGAGATAGGACGCATCTCCGCAATGGACGCTGACCTGGGTGAGAACGCCAAGCTGGACTATACCATCCTGGAGGGGGAGAGCGGGGACACGTTCAATATCACCGGACTGAACCAAGAGGCGGTCATCACGCTCAACAAGGTGAATGAAGGATGACAGAGACTGAGGGGTGGACAGATGGAGGTAGATATTGATGAAAGAGTGGGCAGGAGAGGAGGGAAGGGTTTTGTAAAGGTTACCACAGATAGTGGCTGAGGAGGAGAAAACCAGAGCTAGAAGAACGAGCAGTAAAAGAGCGAACATATGGAGTCATTTTGTAAAGGTAAAAGGCAGCAAAGGAGACAGGAAACAGATGATGAGGGGGAGGACAGACAATGACACGGGTAGTGTAGGCCGGTCTGTAGAGAACAGTTTTGTTTTGAGTCGAAGCACAGCTAACAACATGCTGCCTAAGCCTATTAACCTGGAATTACCTGGAACTAAACAATAATGCTATATAAACTCACACAATTCATCACTGAACAGCCCTTTCAGCGAGGACTTTAATACAGCTGAGCTGCATTCTTCTTACCTGTTTTCCTTATTTGTCTCCCGTCGAGGAAGAGCGTATTGTTGGGTTTTTTGACAAATGAATCTCCGGCTTGATTCCACTCACTGCGAACCAGCCTCTTTTTATCAGCACGTCCATCTGTTTAAAGCAAACATAATGAAATATCTCCGCAAAACTCAATCCAAAGCGTGACGCATCCAAATGCAAATGCTTGCAGTGGCAGAGTGTAATTTTTTCAAGGCGGTTTGTCTCCGGCCTTTTAGCACATCCTTGCATGAATTGCAGAGCATTTGCATGTACAAGAGAATCAATACGGCTCTGGCTTTCTATTTTGAGTTCAATTGGAAAAATGCTATCATGCACAAATGATAGAACAGATCATTAGCCATGCAAATGCAGTCTATATGGATGTCATTTAAATATCTTGCCCTGTGACAGCTGGGATGTGCTCCAGCCCACCCCCCGACCCTAAAACTGGATAATCGGAAGAGAATGGATGGATGTATATTGTGATATACTATAAAAAATCATGGTTTGTGTTAAAATAGCTGTATTAACTGCATATCACAGCACAAGCCCAAGGGTGATGAGTCCTGTAACCAGCGTGAATCCTACAACATCTAATTGTTGATTGGTTACATGAAATTAAGCCACAGCGATGCCACAGATACATTTGAAAAAAGAGATATTTTATGTCATTAACAAGAAGGAACCCAGTTGTCTACATAGACACCATTGTGTTTATTTTTGTAAATGATGGTCTTATTTACAGAGTAAAATAGATAATAAAGCAGGGTTTGCCTTAGCGGATGGTTAGCTTGTGATTGTCTAGACATCACTGTATGAACATGCTGTCTTTGGTTTATCAGTCAGAACCATCTCTCACTCAGGGATTCATGGTTCATGTCTGGTTTAATAAAAACAGGATTGCAACAGCCACAAATGCTCACGTTGAGGCTTTAAAATGAGAGGTTGCAGCTGTTGCATCTATTCTTTATATACAGTCTCCTTTTTAACCCCAGCAAGAATCAGCCCCAGTTGTTTTTTTAATGCAGGCTGCAGATGGATAGATCCCTTTAGTGTAAAGCTAGAATTTTTGGTTTCAGTCATTCCCCGAGCTGCCTGCCATGCTGACTGATCGCCTTTTTGCACAGGTGTATGTGCATTGTGGAAGTGATGACTGCCAGTGTGCCTTGTATCCGTATGAGGAGAGGAATCACTCGTGCTCGTGTGTAGTGTGCATATGAGCAGGGCTGTGGGAGGCTAATGTGAGCTATGGTGCTTTGATTTTAAATGAGCTCTTCAGAAGTGTCGAAATACATATGAGTCGCCTTTATTGTTGTTAGCCATTTCTCTGACGTGTGATATCAGTCACTCAGTCAGAGAGCGTGTGCTTCAGCACATGTTGTGCCACCTGTGTTATACTGCCAGGTGTCATACCCATGAAGCTGCAACAAAAGAGAAAGCATAATTTTGCGTGTGCTTGTGATCACATGTAATATGATCGATCCAATGAAAAGACTGCATCAAAAAAACCACCTGTGTAACCAGCGTAACGCATTCCTCTGCGATTAAGTATTAAAATCGTATCAATGAGCGGCACACCGCACAAGCCCACGTGTCCACTCACAAAAACAAGCACATATTGTAGACTTTCTTTCACACAAGCCCACATACAAAGTCCTGATGCAAAAATGAAAAATACCACAGCTAGCACACCAGATCTGCTGCTGGGAATTCAGCGAAAACTTCAGGAAATTAGTTAGTCTGTTTACAATAATGAGTGTACAAATGCGAAAATTCTCTTTGTTTTTCATTTACTTTTATACATTTTTTTTATTAGGAGCTAACCCTGGACCTACAAAATACACACCCTCCATAGAAAGCATTGAGATTTGGACTAACATATTAGTCCAATTGAATTTACTGGCAATACACTGAGAAAAATATGGAATATTTCCAGCCACCTTGCTGAGTACACCTGTACAACTGCTCATTCATTTAGAAATCTAACAAGCCAGTGTTTCCCAACCTTTTGGAGCCACGGCACATATTTCACATTAGAAAAATCACACAGCACACCACCAAACAAAAATGTCACAAACAGCATATTGATTATTTTTCCCAGCGGACCAGGTACAGCAGAATTGGCTCGGTTTGTCCCCAGTATACCTTTCCTGCTTTCTTCTGAGCACTACTCATGCTAGGGCCTTCATCTGCGTCAGACGTTTCTACAGGACTCAGGTCAGATTGACGACTTTTTAAGACTATTATGTAATTTCTTTTTCAACTTCTTCTGTTTTACTAGCAGTTGGCAACCCATTTAATTAGAGCAGGTAGTTGTACTGCCCTCTAGTGGAAGAGAATGTAATTGTTCTGCCCGTTACTCACGCTGGTCGCTTAGAGCACTGATCAGGTGGAACCAGACAATCTTCTACATCACATCTGATCATTTCTCACGGCACTGTAATAAGCCAATCATATGGCAGCAACTTTTTAACATAACAACAAAGGTTATTTTTAAAATAACCTTTTTATTGTCCTGTGTTTATGGATTTCCAAGCATGTATTGGCAACTGGGACGGTTGCAGTGCCCTCTGGCACTATTCAACATCAACACTACCTCATGGTTGAAGGGTGTTTCTCCCACCTGTCTTAAAGTTTTTATTTACTGTCCATTAAAAAGGCCGACACAGATATATCGACAAACAGCTCGCTTCTGCTGATATATCAGTGTGTCTGAATAACTGCTGATCCAGTGAGCGAGAGGCAAGAGGCGAACAGCCAGACTGTTTCAAGCTGATAGGAAGGCATCAGTAACTCAAATAACCAAGGTACGCAGAAGATGACCTCAGTAGTTTACTATTTAGTAAGGAAATTAAATTACTACTGCTAATAATAATACAAACAGCAATGCTCTTTTTAATTGTACATAATGCAAAACAAATGCCATATACAGGCAGCTATAGTACATGAGGTGGCTCATTGTATGCTCAGACTGTCTGTGTGTCTCTCTTTCAGAATGACTGACAGAGCACTTCAACACTAAATAGGGCTCAATTAGTTCCATCTATTAAAACTGCATAGGCAGAAATGGGTGCTTTTGACTGCGATCCCCCAGGACCCCAGTACATTTGAATGTTTAAAAAAGCACTAGTCACAGCAGATAGCAGGAAACAATGAGTCACAAACTGACTGGCCAAATAGTGACAAACTGGAGCAATAGATCAAAGCATTTCTAAGATGTGACAGACACTTTGCCTCTAGGGCCTGTGAGAACCCCCGTCACCAGGATGAGGTTTTTGTTTGGTTGTAGCATGTTTGACTTTATGGTAGCGCTAAAGCTATTTCTTCAAAATTTGCCACACTCCTCAGCCAACCCGGTGAGTTCTATGCCAGAGTGCTGGAGAGGAGAATCCATCTTTTAGCTGGACAATGCGGTTTTCTTTCTGGTTGTGAATTGCTGGACCAACTTTTAATCCTCTCGAGGATATTGGAGGATGCGTGAGAGTGGGCTCATAATACTTGGCCAGTTATTCCACTGTATCCCTTTGGGAAATTTCCTTATGGGAGCTTGGTTTGTATTTGCTGGGAGTAAATTAGAATTTTTATATTTTAGATAACTGGATGTAAAAGTCTATCTTTCCGCATCACTTTTGGGAAATGCAAACTGCAATCTGGCTAAATATGCAGGAAAAACAACAACAAAACAAAACAGAAAAAAACGCTATTTGTATTCAAAAATTGATGTTGTTTTTATTTTTGCTGGTGAGTGCCTGACTGCACAAATGTTTTGGTTGGTGTACTGAAAGCCATGCAGGTGTGCATAGCGGTGTATGTGTGCGCATGTAAACACTTGAAATTTCTGTGAATTTATCATTGTGTCAGTTCTCAGCCTTGGGTTTGCAGGATTCGTTAAAAACAATCCGCACCCAGAGGTGGCGTGCAGAGCAGGATTTCCAAGTTCCTTTGAAGAGACGCGCCGAGGTAGAGCAAGGACTGGATACGGTGAGAGGTGCAAGAGAAAGAAATCTAAGCCAAGGACCTGGGAACAAGGCGAAAGAGTGCGGGTGAAGAAGGAAAGAAACCATGGGAGAGCTGAAGGAGGAATGTTAAATTGAGGTCCTGCGAGGCGGTGACAGCAGAGAGTGCGGTATAACAAGGGGGTTAGAGGAAGAAGCGACCGAGAGAGATGCGCAAAGAGACAGGGAGAGAGACACAGTGACAGCCATGGAGAAATTAGCTCAGCTATAGGCTGCGAAAGCACAGGAGGTTAGAAATACCCATCCGGAGAGACAAGCAGACAAAAAAAGCAGAAAAAAAATAAATAATAAAAAAGAGAGGTACAGTTATTAGGAGAGGGGGAGACAGCATGGCGACAATAAGACAGACTGAAGAAGAGTCGGGGAGAATAGGTGAGCATCAGCATGTGGTGAATGGTGAAAATCACATGTAAACAATTACACTAAACACCTCCCACCTCCAGCATTAGCTGCGCTGGATTCAGCCACAGACGCAAGGCAAAAAAAAGTACAATTAATATTTCAACATGGCCTCCTCTGCGCTGCTTTACTCTCTCTGCAAAGGCACC